TCCGATAAATATGATATTGCGACCTTATGCGTTGGAATGTTGGTATATTAAATACGAGGATTTTCATCAAAATGCAGGATTTACTTTCAACTGGCACCATTAATTTAGATAAAAGCTAAAAGTCTAAATTATTAAGAACAACTCAATACTACTCACCAGTTCAAAAATTCCCAGCACAAGGAATGAAATGCGTTTACCGCAACAGTGGACAGTCATGGCAGACCGAAAAATATCAAATTCTAGTCTAACTCTTAACGGAGTGGCCGACTCCCATGTGATTTATCCGAAAATTTATGACCAGTTTATTCGCTGCCTCTCGGATAAAAAAGTGCAAACAGGAACTTTGAACTTCAATATCAATTATTGCCTCAATCCTCAACCGTTCAAAAATCTGTCTTCTGTTTGTAATGTTTTTCTGCTGCATCGAGAATTTGATGAACCAGGTGAGGTATTATCATCAACTTAAATGATTATGATTCATCAGAGTTTTCTAAACGGCCTCATTATCTTTATATTTTCCTCGTAATTTTTTCAGATATTAAATTTCATGCTGATAGTGCAACTGCCAATTTAAAACATAATCTAGAAAATTAAGTCGTATTCAACTGGCAAGCTCTGTTGAGAATAAAAAGAAAAGGTTATTACGAATGCTAGAATGATGTTAACGAATTTCATGAGGAGTTTTAGATCAGCGTTTGATCATCATTAACATTTTTAGTACCGTGATTCAAGATAAATAATACATTTATTCGTGTAACTTAGAAGTTTTGATGCATCTGAATATTTTATTATTGCGCTGCCACCAGGAAATGGTGGAAAAGAGGAAGAGGTTAAAAAGTTTACTCAAATCTGAGAAAATGAATTGAAATAATAGTAGAAAACAAAGAGAATGATGGATGCCAGGATGCCAGGTAATGTATGTTTTTTTGCACACTCTCAACTAAAATTTTGTCCTTTTATATATTCAGTTGCCACACAGATTCCAAAACCCAGGCAAGAACACACTAGATCGACTAACTCAATAAGAAACTTCCGATCGTTTTCAACGTGAATTCACTTCTTGTTGCCATGCCAAACATCTTTTTTACCAGACGCATTTAATCTTTATATCCGTTTAAAATCTTGCTTTTACCATCTACCTAAAGTGGTCACTACCTTGCACAGATGCACAATACTCATTTATATAATGAACACACTTCAACTGCTTCACAAACATTTAATGTCGCTGACTTCGTTACTTGAAAATAACATTCCTACACTCTTGCACGGGTTATGGTCGAAGGCAAGAGTGGTTGCATGAGTTATGTTGCCGTGAGTAATGTTTGTCGCAATCAAAGTAGACATTGGACTCAAGCAAATTAAGAAAACACAAGCAAACGAAGAAAAAGCAAAAAAGAACGCAAATTTATACAGACGAGGCGTAGACAGGTGGAAGAAAAGAATATAGGCACTAGATCCTAGTGTCTCCTACTCACTGTAGTCACTGCTGGTGCACTCATCAAGGAACTGAACGCACAATCACGCGCTGCGATGTGCAGTGATACACGTGATGCAAGTGATAAAACTGCTCGTAGCTTAGTTACCCCCTTCCCATAGAAGGCGCAGAATGAAGCTTTACGTAACGAAATTTTTAAAATAATTTTTTTAAGACTCAATTTACAGTTTTCGTATAATACATACAAATACTTATAAATTTAATTTTAAATATATTTTATGTGAGTGCTTTAGTTTTTCACCATGTTGAATTTGAATTTAAATTATATAATTAAATAATTATATTTAGGCCTCTTTTGTCTATTCCCATGAAAGAAATCATCGTTACTCTATCATACTTGAACCAACTAATAAACTTACGCCTGTTACAAAATTATTTTTACCTTGACAATGAATCATGCTGATAAGATATCAAGCTGATAGCCTCAGGAATTTCAATGCCGAATTCATGCAGTTTCTTTGTTACTATCCTATTTTTAAATCGAAGTAGGGCATATTTGTTGCATTTGCAAGCCTTGGCAGGAAATGCTAGTTAACTGTTGGAATCTACCACGGGTTGCAACCACATTCCATAATTGCGATGTTATTTCTATAACCTCGTTGAACTATTTGAACACTTTGTAGACTTGCATGAAGCCTGTTCATGGATTTATTAACTGTATTGAATAATTTCTTAGCGATAAATAAAAATTATTCACTCTCAATAAAGATGAAATTTCAATCTTTGAAAGTTTTTATTTTCTAATTAGCTTATGCACAACTAATAAGGTTGGCTACCATAATTTCCTGTTCCATTTAAAAATGGGTGTGAAATTTCATTAATAACGACGCACTAGAACTTTTTATTGTTTAAAATCGTCCAAATTAATTGCTGCTCGCTGTCACGTGCTTCTTATCGTCCATAAACACATGCTCAAAGCGGGGGACAAGTTCGCATATTTTTAACTCCAACAACATCAGTCAAGACAAATATTTATTTGTACTAAAGTACTTCAAAAGTCCGTACATTCTTTTTGATCAAATAGTTGAAAATATATGACTTCAAAGGTTATCAAAGTAATAGCCTGACTGTAATATGAGTTCACCACTCATTCGAAAGACAGAAGGCTTTAGATGTATCATAGTTTTTATCATGCAAATATCCCGATACGAAATGAATCGCGGATGCGCTCTCAAGGATAGTCCGTATTTATTTACAGCACTAGCGAACCAGTAAAATAGATTCAGTAAAATGTAACTTTTTCGACCAATGCCCGTTTGTTATGCCACTTGTTTCTACTGCTAGAATAGCTAATATGCGATATAGGCACTAAAAACGTAGTTGTTAAAAAATTAAAAACAGCGAACCAAAAGTCCCAATATCGAAGTTGCCTGACTTCGAACACGCCAAAACGCAATTTGTGCCAATAATTTCTTTTATGCAAGGCTAATAAAAAAATTCCCGCGAATATTAATTTTTCCAATAAATGTATCTTTGTTTTCTAGGAACAAATTCGCATCGTCATAGGGATTTCCCTGATAGTCATTGCCGTCCCTACCTTTGTACCTATATAGCATTCTATCGTTGTAATGATCGCCGCACCTTTCCGTTATATTCTCATCTAATCTGTTATCAAATGCTTCCTCCACATCAGTGGAACCGCTGTTGTCACGCGAGATAAGCAGCAATGATGAAATTTTTTCAATAAGTGTGCTAATCCTTTGCAGAGGTACTGGTAACGGGCATTAAATTTAGAAACAGGAATTAGTACATATTTTAATCTCAGTTTTAATGTTTATTTAACTCAAAAAGCGAGTTAAATGAATTAGATCAAATATAATTTTTTTCATCGGTTCAATGTTCCTGTAATATTGTAATATTTTTCAAATTTACACAAAATGAAAAATCCCGTTGTCAACAAACTTTGAACGAACACAACTTATTTTTAATAATTCTTTGAGTCTCATTTAAGATTTTTAGAAAAAGCTTTAAAAACCACTTTGCAGTTTGTGTAATGCCGAATTTATGAATGTCATCAAATGAAATTCATAAAAATTTTAAGTTTGGAAATCGCAAACTAAACAGTCGGATGTAGAGATTACCTCGCATAAAGTTTCTAGTTATATGTTGCAAAAATTTCAATTCATGACATTATTTGAACAAGTTGATTATCCTTGTTCATCTGCACGAATGTGTCAAAAAGTTTAAGGGAAAGTGAACTAACGACGTAATTCAAAGAAACTAAATCAAGTGTATTTAATGTCATCAAAAATTTGTAGCAGGATTCAGAAATGGATGAAATATATATCGATGATAACTAATCTGGCATGAAGCCGATTCACCCCATTTTCTATTTCCCTCTCGATCCCACTTTCTTTCACCATCTCTTCTGATCTCATGCACGGAGAGCTGGTCTCTCTGTTCAATCACTGCTCAAATTTATCCTTTTAGCATCCAGCTGTACTTATTTGTCGCCTTCCAAAATAGCTTTTTAGTTAATATATGAAGCTCCTTCGCTCGATAGAACAACTGGTCAATTGCATCGCCTTTAATTCCAGGCTGCGCGTTGACCAGGTGGACATTTATGCCGCTTGTCAAATTTTTTAACCCATAAATTTCAGCAATGTGGTATGGATGCAAAGTAGTATTTTCCACTCAAAGGAATTGGTCGCTAATTAGTTATCTGCTTGACCTTGTCTAGTTTTCTCTTGATAGAGCCAGCACCGGATAAGCTCTGTCGTGATCTTATGAATGTTAATGCAACTTGTATTCTTGAGCACATGAATATAATTATATAAATTAAATAAAATTATTCATAACTAAAACAAAACTCTAGGTAAGATCTTCTACGTATAGACGTTCTTACATTGATCATTATTACAAAAAAATATAAGTCATTCTATTTGACAAATAATTTCTAATAATAAATACATCTATAAGTTAATATTCACATGATACTGAATTCACTGCGGTCGAACCCGGTTGATAGATTCATTACCATGAATTTAATTGCACTTCATATCTTGACCTGGTAACATGAACATCGCACTACAAATTGACATAACCGTGGTATCACATGCCACAGAGAACAGAGAACATAAATGTGAAAACAATTAGATTGAGAAAATAGTGTCATGAACCAATGATGAAATCGCTAGATATTCTGTGAGCATATAATATATATTTATTAGTGAATAAACGAACTGCGCTGCAACTTATCCACGCGACAATATTTCTTCTCGCTTCGAGTCACCGACATGTGGAACAGCCTCCCTGATAGCATCGTTGGCGCTCCAAGTATGAACGCGTTCAAGAACAGACTAGATAAAGCTATGGATAAATATATGTTCAGATTTGAAATGCTTAGCTCCTTATCGAACCCGGTGGAAGTCTAGTAGCTATTTCAAACTATCGTCAGTCATGAAAAGATCCGGTCAAAAGACATGCTTTTAGATCTTCTGTGAACAAGTCACGAACAGTACACGAATCGACGACAGGCCACATCAGGCCTACTCATCAGCGCCGACATCACTATGTTGTGTTATGTTATTTTACACAGTGACTCCCAAGCTGTGGCAAGCCTGTCATAAGAACGCGGGGACCTATCAGGTGATATGCTTTTGGTTTCTTGATTGGCTTTCACTTATTAATTTTTATTTATCAAAGATGCCACAGCCCAAGAGTAAATAATCCAGCAAAGATCCATGGATGTTGTTATTCACACCGTTTTTGTCCCAGTGAATTCAAACGATATTCATACGGCAGAAATTTTTAGAATAGTAAGTTATGTACCAATAAGTGAAATACAAGCGATTATATATGCAAATGTTAATATATTCTTAATATGGTTGGTAGTAAGCGTTGGTATCTGATGCTGCTAGGCTGCTGTTCAAGGCCTCCAAGTGCATTCCATCACAAAAAGTCTGAACAACACTGATTTAACCGAACAAAGCGCCTTCCGTGCCTTCAGCTAAACCCTATAGTCAAAATCGTGAGAAGATTAATAATGAACAACAGATTACGTTCTTCTTACGTCGACATATAAAGTGGTTTACATTGTCCATCACCAAATCGATTAACGAAAATTCTCGCTTCAGTTGAATATTGACTAGGAACAATCGTTTAACCGAAAAGCATTACTGTTTGATATAGCAAAGAAGGCACAATACGATCCATCTCTGGGTGTTCTGAATGACTGTGAACGGCGGTCAACCTGGAAACCGAACATTTAATATTGACTTGAACATTTCACATCAGAATATTTGCTTCCATAATGGAGTAGAAATTAAATCATTTCTGTAACTCTTCTTTAAAATTGAATTCATCAGGTAATTGAAACTAACAAATAGCGCAAAAAATACATCGTAAATGTTCAAATTATCACAGCCGTTCAACAAAATTTAGTGTGATTTGAATGCCATAATTGATGGTTCTGCGGAAAACTTCAGCAGTTCCTTACAGAAAAAATTTTCTCCAGAGATTCAGGCAAGTTCTTCGACCATTGGCATTGGCCCGTCCCCTGCAGTCGCTTCCATTGTCTGTCGATGAATAAATTCTTGTTATTTTATTATATATAATTTACCAGTAATTTTGCAGTAGCTTTATTTCAGATCCCTGCAAGATTTTTGTGTCAATAAATAGATAAAAAGAGTTTAATGTCACGTGAAATAAATTACTGGTGGTGTTCGATCATCATGGCTGTCACAGAATACTTTCTGTAGAAAAATAAAAATTGAAATCAGAAAAAAGTTCATGAAAATGAGTGCAATAAATTAATCTCATATATTCTCTAATGTTTATTTAATTATTTCAAACTTAGCGTAAGACTTTTATTCTAATAGTTTCAGGTGTATAATTGTGTTCATTTAGTCGTGAAAAATTCAGAAATTCAGTTCCCGTTCATTAATGAGAAGAATTATTATGGATTTCAGAAATATTATCTTACTCTCAACATTCCTGGTTGCGTTAATCTGTGAAAAGCCATCGCAACTGCTAAGTTACTGATTTTTTTGGTGAAAACAGGTAAAATTATGACAAAAGTGAAATAAATTACACCTACGTTTACTTAATTGAAACGGGAACAAAATTTTACCTCTTTCATGTGGGTGTAGACCAGCCAGCAGAGAAGTCCTTTTATGGTAGCAGCGATGGCCAGGAGTGCGGCCAGCGGAGACATTGGGCGCGTGATGAAACTCACCACCACCAATATCAGCACCACGAACACAGCCAAAATTATCCACGTCAGAAATGGAATCATGAGTCGTGGTCGGTCCTATAAGAACAAGATTACAATTGGTAAATACGATCTGTGATGTTAATATTCGTGTGGAAATTTGCCGCCTTAGAAATTTTTAAATATAGAGGTTGCACTGAGGACTGTTTATGTTATTAAAAATAAAAAATTCTTTTTATTGAAATTAGCACCAAAAAATGTTCGAAATATCACGCATTAAAATTTTTTAGATGTGCAAAGGGCATTTCTTTGAAACATCCGACCCAGATAACATTTTTCAGAGGCAAGGAGAATGACAGTCCAGCGTAGGTTAGAGGAATTTACACTTAGAAAACTTTTCAAATTTCTTACATATATTGACCTCTAAACTTAGTTTTTAATGAGAGTTTCGATATCATAAGTTACCAAAATACACGATTAATATGAGAAATATTGTCGATGGAATTTTCATCCACATTTCGTATCAGACTAAATTAATACAAATATGATTGTCGGAAGCGAAGTATTATATGAGGAAGCGAAGTGTTATTATTATGTGTTTCCAAAATGAGAGTTTGGTTAAGGGAAAAATCATTGGTCATTCTATGGTAAATAAATTGCTTTGAGAGGCAGTAATAAACTTTTAGCTCAAACGTTTATTTGAATTACTAAAAATAATATAAAATTTATGATTGCACCACTCCTCACAAAATACTAAAATATACAAAAAATAGCTTGTTTCTCTATCAAAACATTGATCATTATTGCGTATCAATATTATTATAATTAACCTCATGAAGGTATCACCTGATCGACGGCGTAGATGTAGACGCTGCTGGCCACGATGAGGCACAAACACAATATCGCTGACGCCACGTGGCACCTGAACACTGAACTTAAATAATTAGAAGATTTAGTTTTGATTTCGAACTATTGAAAACGTGTGTAATTCAAAGAGTGAATTATTCTATCATTTTATTTGCATATGATGTAATTAAATGAGCTTGCGTTAATTTATCTCGCGGGAGAATTGGAGTTCATAAATGTTTCAGGTCAGAGCTGAGTGAGCTAATTTTAATTTGTTCGTACATGGGACAACTTAAGAAATGTTCAAACGTACTCATCCATGGAGCGAAAACCGTGAAAATTTATAGTAGGATATTCAGCAATACGTAAACTATCAGTGCTATGTTGTTGTGATAAATTTGTTAATCAATTGCAAGGTTTAAAGAAAATAACTCGTACCACTTCACATGTGAAACTTGCAACGACAACAAGAATTTTATTCAACATTTTGCAACAAGAATTTCATTCAACATTACAGTTGTGTTATAGGTTTGAAATTAGTACTGCTGTGACTTATCATTTAGCACGTCACATGTTTCTGAATTTCAATACATGCGAATAGATTTCCACTTACAGAACTTTAGAACGTATTTCTCATCGTCGTTGGTGGCCAACGACCAGTCCCAGTTAGCCAAGGTGAGGATTGATCTGATGGAGTTGCTTACTGCACCAATCTATGAAGAAATTAACATGGCTTTACTATTATAATATACAATAAGAATGGTTTGAAATTCCCGGGTTAATGAAACACTATAATTACTCAATTCATGTAACTGTAAATGATGAATACTGTAAAACTATCAAAATATTCAAGAACGTAACGACGCCATCAGTTGATGTAATGAGTCTCATCATTGCATCAAGTGCCTCATCATTTTCAAGAAAGTCGTTTTTCTACATCAGCGCCATTGGAATAATTAGCATCTCGACTCCAACAAACGTTGTCTGATGGCGCACCTTAATAAAGTTGCCACAATTCGTGGTACAATAATTAGTATTAAATGATCGTATTTATAATAGACAACGTGAAAAACGCTTATCTGACGTAAATATTTATGAAAGACCACTTCAAAAACGTTTATCTAACGTAAATATTTATGATACTCCACGTGAAAAACGTTTATCTGACGTAAATATTTATGATAGACCACGTCAAAAGCGTTTATCTGACGTAAATATATCTGATAGACAACATGAAAAACATTTATCTGCCGTAAATTTACTCACCAAAGCGAAGACGCCCAGCGCGAGACAGCAAGTCCTTTTCTTGCAACAGTGAGCAGCCATTTTGAATTTGTAACCTCTCAGTTCGACCGTCTTGAAATACCTGTGTGTCGAATACTACTTCTGCAATATATAATAATAAAGTAAGTTTAGGTTCAAATTTAGAGCATTTTCATGGACTAACTGCTCATAAAATTAAAACTGAATAATAACGAACATTCAGAAACATTTAAACTGATATTTACTCATTATTTTTGAAACTACAAATAATAATACAAATAATACTAAAAAGCTTGAAATAATCAGACCATAACAAATTCTTAGTGCTAGTGCATAAATACTGTCTTCATAAAGCTCATACAATTTAACTCGTTTTAACAGAGGATATTTAATTAAGGCGATAACATCGAGAGCAGCGTGATCGAAGCAATGTTTTCAACGCCATATCACTGGCACACAATATAACTTCAAATGCTACTAAGCTTTGTATTTCCTAGCCCGATGCATGAAAGTTTGACGTGAAGTATTTAATTTCATGATTAAGTCCTGACAGGACCGCTCGGCACCGTGCCGCTCTCTGTACTAAGCAAACGAGTACCTGGAATTCTCGCGTGCCTTGGTTTATGTGTCACGGCTTGACTACCATCGATCCGCTGCACCATTTACACTACCTAGTCAAGTGAGCTTTCGCAGAATAACTATCAGGCCTATAAAAGCGAATGAAGAATTATAAAGCTTATTAGTTGAATTGATGATTACTTGCTGTTAATTTATTGGATTGTCAAATTTTGATACCGCCTTCAATGTTACTTAGTGAAGGAAAGCCGCTGCATCAAACAGGGTGACTTACGAGGGGTGACCCATAAAAAACCGGACTGCCTGTGTGGTGGGCGAAGTTTTAGTAGTACCGCAATTTTACAGTACGTGAATATGCTGCTGACATTCATCAGTTAGTGTGACACGTATTGGTGCTCTAGAAAGCCATGTTCCTCTATCGCAATTTTTTGATACTTGTTTTGCGCGCTCAGCCTTTTTTTGATGATGTCTCATTTTTGTGAGCAACTTGCTGCCATTAAATTTTGATTTCTTCTGTGATAATAACTGAAAAGAAATCCTACAGACAGCCTACAAGATGACGCTATAGGGAGAACGCAAGTTTTTGAGTGGTTCTTCCGTTTAAAAAAATGCAAAAAGGTAAATTGACGGCGAACCTCCTTCCATTTACCGCACTGAAGAAAATTAATGGTCCAATCACTAAAGATCGACGTAGAAGTATTGACGAACTAGCGGAACTGTCCTTAGTGGCTTGGAATTCGCTGCATCATGTTATGAAAAAATTTGGAATAAATGAATAAATTCTCAAAAAATCAGTCAATTTTTTTGGTCCCCCCTCAGATTTTGATTCAGAAATAATTCCTTTGTTATGACCGACCTAGTCTAATTGAACCGACCTATGTCTTGCAATACGATTTAACAGATTCCATTTGCACAGTCTCCTAACAAGGTTAGTGACAAGTAATATTGATCACAAGTTCGGTATATCAGCTATTGAAGAATGTTCTAAAGTAGCCTTGCTACTAAACTTTTATTAGGTAAGTGGTCACTATTTTTGTCACTTGATTTGATTGGTGCATGGCATACGCGCTTCTTGCATGTTGTTTTACCGTAAACAAAAATAGATGATGATTGCTGTGGCTATACTTCAGTAGCGAGGCTCTATCTCTTGCTTATTTTATGCTCATTGACCGGCAGTGAGTGCGCTAGCTTTTGATACTTAAGGTACAACCGAATTTCAGCTCCTGCAGAGTTTTATAAGCTAGTTTTATTTTTTGTTAGCTGTTATTTTCATCTATGTGGTTTTGAACTAGTTTATCATCCACTCGCATACAGATAATTTTAATATTTTTTCATATCGAAATGAATCATCAGTCATTTGTTCGAGTTAATCTTTCAGGAAAATCAAAGTTATCATGATAAAAATCTGGGATGCAGAAATTGTTCAACGATTTAGATTACAATTATTTTCTAAGAATGAGATTAAGATGTTAGTGTAAGTATATAGCTTTAAAAACCAGTATTAAAATTCAATTGCAGCGTTTCATCTCTAACTTGCCAGTGCATCTCAACTAATGTTATACCCTTTAATAATCATACCACATGAAGGCTAGCATTAATCGAAAAATACCTAAAACAAGCGCTGGAAGTACGACCTCTACCAGCCCAGGAGACGAGCTACAGACGAGGGTGCGAGCCACAACAACACTATGGAGACAGCACAACTATTCCAATCCATTTCAAATCTCTCCGCAGGTACATCAAATCATTTCCGCACCATTATTGACTTGAATGTTAAAATATTGGTATTTTCTTTAGTGTTTAATATGTCTTCTAAGTCTTCAATATATCTTCCTTCCAGAAGCACTCACGTCATACTATAATTCAAAATTCCTATACGTATTATCTCTGCAATTTAACTGCCTCCATTTCCACGGCGATGTTTATTGATTCAGTTTTTCGGTCTATCATACTTTGTAACTTTACATCAGCTGTTTTGCCCTAGCTATATAATTATATAGACGAGAACGGTATAATCAGAATTTCGTTTATGTACATGCTATTATGTGTTATTTTCACGATATGACAAAGAATGGAAAAAAAACTAACCTCAAACTTATGAAGGTGTAACTCAAGATATAGAAAAGGCTTCAAATCATTTGAAATTTTGAACCAAGATCATGTATCTTGCGTAGAAATTAGGTTACGGAGTACTAGATCTGATCTAAATAACCAAGTTGTTGCTTAGCACGAGCTCTGGTTTTCCAGTGCGGACTGTCCTGCGATAGGGACACTCGCTGCCTTTGCTTGGTGGCACCTTGAAGAAAACTCCTAATTAATTCAGTTCAATATTTCGGGAAGATGCTGGCTACAGTAGCGCGCACGACATCGCATGCGGCCATACCCCGAAAAACGAACCTAACAGATCACGCGCCGCTGGACAGAGAACCGCATTGCCACAAACTAAGACTGTATTTTAAATTCCATTAATATACATAATACATTATAAAATTGTCTTAATTAAATAGTAATTGTATCAATCTTAACGAACTGTTTGGCTCATTGCTCGCATAATGCCATGCAGAATTAGCTATTAACTCGAGTGAAATTACAATGTGGTAATTTATAGTGGCAATATCTTGTGATGTAAATGACATTAAAATATAACATATAAATACACGACATTAAAATCCCGATCTGAACACAGAACATGGGTTCCACATCGTTATCGCAAATTCCTTGCTCTCGGTCTTCGCAGCACTCCGATTACCAGCCGTAAGAAACCCTGCATAATAAAACTAAGAAAGTTGTGCTTCTAAAAAATGTTCAGAATTAACATGTTTATCATTTAAAACTAATTATTTTCAACTCTCAAACATCATGATGTATGAGAGTTGAAGATTACACCGTAAGATTACACAACAAAAATTAGAGGCGTGTGTCACAGCACACGTGAACAAGATTAGCGAAGTTAGACAACTGCAGCCGCGGCTATAGCGGCCAGCGCGGGGCGCCGCAGCCAAAAGTTTCCTCGTTTGCTGATGTCCTTTGCATCATCTTTGTATTAATTAAAGGACTAGGGGCAACGATATGGGCGATGAAGCGCTTGCTGCAGCGCCTCACCGCCCACAACCATTCACACTTATTTTGTACGCGGTAGCTCGAGACCGCGCGCTTTGAAGATTAGTTGCCAGGTAGACGTCAGTCAGGATGGATGTATCCGAATTTGAGCTCTAGGCCATTGTTCTCGGGCGTGCTGCTGTTAAGAAATGATGTAGGCGTCGCCGTATTCAGGTGAAAAAAATGGTTGCAAAGAAGATAGTGGGCTCACACAATTACATTTTCAAAGAATTATCAGTTGCGAATGTATCAGACTTTCAAAATATACTTGACTGCCAGTGGACTTGTATGACAGTCTGCTAAAGAAAGTAATGCCACTTGCCCAGAAGCAGGATGATGGAATTTAGATGGAATTCATATGCAATGGAATTCATTTGCAATGAAATTCATTTTACGATGGAATTGCGAACGCAACGAATGAATTTTCTTGCGAACCTCGTCAATGGTGACTTGTACACAAAAATTTCTTAAAACTTCAACAATTTTCACCAGAGTTTGTTCTTTTGCATTTCGACTTCTATACTCATTTGACTTAACTCTCTACAGGCGTTCATGGTCCCTACAAAGATCAATTAGCCTCTCCAAACAAGTGTTGCGTTAGTTGCTATAGTGAAATACCAGCGTATACAAACAACCTCACTAGACCACGGACAACCGCCCACTGGAGACTGGAGTCACTGGACCACTGAGTGGGGCGCTTGTGTTGCATGATGCAGGGCGCCTGTGAATCTCTAGCTCTTCAATCGCTTCGCTGCCCACAAGAAGCGCACGTAGAAGGGCGGTGAGGCGCTTGACGCCCGTGTGTTCCCCCTAGTGTGAACGAGCCTTAACGGGGTAGTGGTAACCACCACCTAATGAGGGAGTAAAATGGAGGTGTTAAACATTTTACATGTCTAGCTACTAATTTTGCGCAGCGATCTGAATAAATTAACTATATGAAATAAAAACAGTAAAACATGGATTAAGTTTTGTAATCGATGTCGTTTGAACCACCGAATATAGTTTGTCCTAATTTGTTAATTTGTTTAAATAATAACGAGGTACCATGATATTTACGTCGCGATTACTCATGCCCAGCACGCACAAACGGCATTGAATAAAACGATCTAAATTCACTGACGAAGGAGAGAATAATGTGAACCTCTCTACAGTCTCACGTCGAACTAAAATATCAAAATTTTGAAGATCTGGTGTGTATACCCAATAACATTGTATAATGCCTGTCATCTGAAAAGGCTCTGCCATTACTGTATCAAGCTGTCACATACATGTATCTGTATTAAGCTGTCAACATCACATACCTGAATATCTAATGAAAACTTGTATGCGGGCCCTGAATACAAAACCAAACATTCATCAGTTGTTGGATCTGCCAATTAACAGCTTTAATATTAAGTATTTGTGTTATGATAAGGATTTAACACTAGCAGCACCGCAATTGTGCAATACCTTGAAACACTGCGTGAGGTCATTTTGACCTCATGTGGTAAAAATGGTTAAAAAGGGCCCATTTACCCCCGAAACCCCATTGAATGACTATAATACAATGTTAATCGCTAATTTCACAGTAACCAAAAAAAGCACAAAAATTAATTTTGAAGTAATTAAATAACACAAATGTACATGAAAACTCAGAAGTGATAGATTGACTAATATCTAATGATTCCTTTGATTTTTTAATTCAATTATACAAAATACTTGTAATATCATTCAACTGTGTATCATAATGACTTATGATTGTTGCGTAATAATATTATTATTCCACCTTACAAATTTTGCAAGTTATTTTCTCCTTGGTGACTTTAGCACGGGACGTTTGCATTTGTCGAAATGTTTGCTGTTTTATTCCACGTAGTCTTTGTATATTTTAAGACCCTGATTGAGAGCCGAGCGAAGTCTGAGAGCAAGGTTTTCGCGACCATCGTGTAAAATCCTTGATCTGCCCGAATCTCGGCCAGTCGCTACCCTCAAGCTTGTACTCTTTGTAATATGATATCCTAGCCAGACCCTTTCTCGCGGTCACTGGTCGCTTTCAGGTGGCCGAGGAAGGCCAACGGTCGGCTATAACTAATTGGACTAGGCCGACCACTGGCCACGTATTATTCTTCGCCTCTCATTGAGTTCCCGGCACCATGCCGCCCGTTGTGAACTGAGTCGAGTAATTTACGACGTCTCTTTCCCCTCATACTTTCCACAACGCCTCCATTTGAGCAGCTAGTATGCGGGTTTTACCCTCCGCGTATCAGCAGCCTCGATCTTAACTATTTTTCGAGAAATAATATTTACATCAAGGAGGCTGATCAAGGAATGCCGAGTATACCATTCAATGGAAAATAAAAATTACAACCCGTTTACATCTCGGAAAAAGGAAAAAAGTCGCGGATTTGATGAACAATAATATTCAAAGTTTCTTGAAATTTCCTCTCATTGAAACTCTTTCAATACAAAGTTAACATATTTTTTTGTTACTGGTCGCCGCTTATAAATAAATAGCTGGGTAAGCATGGAAGAATCCATATCGCCATCTCATTTACGAGTGGAGTAAAGTCTATTCTAATTCGTGAAGAAACGCATAGGGAACAGCCGAGCCTGTTCGAAGCCTCGCAACCCTCAACCAGGGCCTTAAGGCCCAGTTCTGTCGCTTTCTTAACACTGGATGTTGTAATTCTTCTTATTTCTGCATTATCATTGTTGTCGAATGAATTTTTTGCAGTATCTGGCAGTGAGATTTTGTTAAGTTTTCTATATAAGCATCAACAAAAAGTTGCGCCCGTTCTCTCTAGTTCCAAGTACTTGAGTATAAACAATAAGAGAATCTATTACAGCGAAGTCCAGAACATTGTAAAACACTTGCAGCGGCCACCGTCTTGATGGGACTTTGAATGAATAATGGCGTGCATTCATGTCTAAGACATCGACACCAAACATCGTATGATATTAGAAGTCAACAGTTCCTGAGTTTTCTTACGGTTGACTGAGCAAAATACTAAGTTATGAAGATTGCTGAGCAGAAGAACATTCTTTGAAGTTTTTGCCTGATATACCGTTAGAGTCGTATATCATTGTTGAATGGAGCAGAGCTTTCATTGTCTTGACTGCTGGTGGAATTTCTCTCCTGATTTTGTTCATTGTTCCAACTATATTAGTTTTCTTACCTTCTAATTTCTCCGCTAGTTTGAGCGATGTAAAGAAGTTGTCAGTGATCACGTTTCGTCCTTTCAATATGTAAGGACCCACGAGTTTCAAAACATGCGCGGAGAAGGAGATGCCTTCAGGTCGATAAACATCATTCCCTAAGTAAGGAAATCCATTCAATAAATACTCAGACTTGCTGTCAGTTGCTGACCAAAATTTGATTCCAAATATGTCAGGTTTACTGGCAATGTATTGAGGGAATGGATATCTGGCTTTCGTAAGGAAGAATTGTTTATCTATTGCGATGCTTTCATCTAGAATATAGCAAGCCTTGCAGTTTTCTATAAATCTGTTCTAAATAGGGGATGCATGACAAAATTTATTAGTTTGAAGTCTCACTGGCTGTGTTATCTGACATCAGCTCTTATATATCTGATCAATTCCAAATAAAAAATTTCTTGCTATTATGCCGTTGTAAATGGCTGGTCTACACTGGTTAGACCAAATATGACGAACCGGCTGACCTCTTGCAAATACCCGCGTGCCAACTTTACTGCCAACAACTGATGGATGTCTGGACGAGATGCTTTCCTATTTTTATTTCCACTCTTATTTTGTGCTTCGATTTCTGTGTATTTGATTATGATGTTAATGATCGCACGATCAGTGAAGAAAAAGAAAGCGCTCTCGGGAGAGTTGTTGATTACAGATCTCTTGGCAAATGATGTAGGACCAGGCTTATCCGTCACTATGTTGTGTTTTCTGATTCGTCCTACACCATCATCTTGCGTCTTTACAACATTCAATCCAGTCCCATCTTTTATTTTGCATGAAATAGGTACCAGTACCAGTTCGTACCAGTTTCAATTCGTTTCCTCCTTCTAGTGTCATTATTTTCAATTCCTGTAAAACATATATGAATTTTAGATATAAAACCCACAGAAACATGAAAATTTATTTATAGTAATGGAGTACAAAATACGTATATGAGAAATAATATGCAAACTAAATATAAAACTCATTACTTGGCGATGAAGGATTAAGAGAAACTTCTTGGTGTTCCAATTTTTCTCTGCCATCGGATAATACTGAAAAGATTATATTGTGTGGAATGAATTCATTAGCACTATTCGCTCCACTAAAGTATTCGCCCTCAGATTCTTAAGAATTCATAGAAGCTAAACTGTTTTTAATGTGAGCGTCGGTGGGCGATTTCTGCAACAAGTTGTCGCTGCTATAGGTGAAGAGAAGTATACTATTCGTTAATCCTGCTGTCCAAGGGTTATACATGAAACGCTCTCCAAATTTGTTGTGACAAGTCTGAACGCAACGCTAGTGATGTGTACGGTCTATAGTAACATGCAACATCAACGGTCTTTGTATCTGTATAATTCTCGGTGAGAATGAAGTCAAAGTAAATCTACCATGAGGTCACAATGACCTCATCGTGCATGGAGGTACAGCACTCAATTGTACTGAATACATTTTAAGCATCAAATTGTTATTACATAATTATACATAAATATATAATTGAAAAAAAGTCATAAAATTTTAAGGAAGTCAAATCAACCGTTTAGGCTTTTTGCCAATAAAATGCGATGTGATGTCATTTTGACCTCATCGTACTTCTAGTGTTAAAATTATCTCGTGGAGCTACATGCATTGATTTTTTTCGAGGTCCTTCAAGCAGCCTTTGATTTTTATATGTGATTAAATACAAACTAAGGCATTTCTTTGCCGAAAAAAAATTGACTCATGTACACAATGAACTTATCTAGCTGCCACGTCCCCCTGCAAGTTCAAAATTTCGTAAAATATCGTTTCATATGACTTAATAAATATGCGCGTGCCCATACATCGACGCAATTCCATGAGCTTCCATGAGCTATATATGGTCAAGGTCCGCTCAAATACTAGAATCTGTCAAGAGACATCCTGAGGAAGCTTACCCAGCTGCTTCTTTCGATATATTAAGCAGATTCTGCCCATCGGGCCATGGGCTCTCAAAAAAGGCTTCTAGATAATAGCGGTATAGAGCAGATAGCCGATTAACGCCTTACAACATCAGTGGCGACTCGATAGATCGAGGGGCGGCGTAAAACGGAATCCGAAACTCGACTGGTATATCACCTAATCTACTGAGAGGCTCTGATGGCCATTCGAGGATAGCAAATAACCAACGTAAACGCGTGCTCTAATCCTGACCTCGAAATTGTGTTTAGTAGTAAAATCCATTTCAAAGATGTTAAACTTCAAAAAATCTACCATTCCTTTGCATAGATGGAGTTCAAAAGTGATTACAAGTATAAATGATACGTACAAATGTCTTATAACTAGAGATTATGTGGCGTAGTTAGGATAGGCAAGGGAAAACTGGTTTGTTACAGTACTCAATTGTTCCCCCAGTTTTTCCAGGCTATAAGATATATCTCTGAGGATAAAATTTTTTCGGGATTCATTATTTATTTGTTACTGGATTTTCTTCGCTAATTGGAGCCTTTTCTTCAACCAGTAGCATTCGACCGTCCGCTGCAGTCGCTTCCATCATCTGTTGGAGGAATTCTTTCTTTTAAGCTTTCTAACAATAAGTTTTGCAGTTAACTTCTCTAACAACCAAATTCGATTTTTTCTTTGCACCAACGACTGTAAACGTAATCGCCATACCATTCTTGTCGAGTAGAATGAACTTCAGAACGTAATGTTCCTTCAGAACGTAATCATCATTCCGCATCACGCTTGCTAAGTGAAACATTCATAAGACAAATAAAACCGGAGTTATATAAGGAGTCCATTTTCAAGTCGCTACACATAAAAATTTGTAGCTCAAATAAACATTGCAATTGTCTTCATGCCAAATGGATATTCAGACGGATCTTATATCTCAATGGACATTCAAAATTAGGTAACATTTCTTTGAACGTGATGCGTGAACTTTGTACGACTCTTCCTTTCTCATTCGATCTAAATTTGCTGATTATTCTATTTATAGCAGAAAAATATTACGAAAAATGAAATATTTAATGAATGCTTTGAATTACAGACAAAGTTTACCTCTTTCATGCGGTCGTGAACCAGCCAACAAAGAAACGCTTGTCCGGCCGCAGCGGCTACAAAGGCCCACTCCAGTGAGGACCAGGGGCGGATGATGAAGCTTGCCAATGCCATAATTGACTCGGCGATCATGGCAAAAACCAGACACACCAGCACGAGAATCATGAGTCTTGGACGATTCTATCGAGAAACATTCATACGGTAATTAGCATCAACGTTGAGGAATTTACTGTAGTGCTATGACTCTATGACTCCTTAAATGGATCCCCAAAATAATGATTTTTAATTGTGAGTACAAATAACTTTCAGGAATAAATTTGATGTTAATAATATAAAAAAATGCACTGAGTAATTCTTTCGTTATCACACGTTTGCAGCAAAAAACTTCGGCTAATTTTTTAACATTAGCCGATTTTATTTTAACATTTGTTAAAATGAAAAGGTATAGTTGAAGACTTACAGATTTTTGGAACAAGAAATGCTAAAACATTTCATGTATAAATTTGTTGACCAAGAATGGTCTAGAAGTTTTTAAATATTGGCATTAAAATTTCATAGAGAACAAGAAATTCTCGTATAATAGATCTGTAGAGATAAGAAGCGTAGGATCATTCACAATAAAGCAGTTAGTAGAGCATTAATTGAATCCGAGGCATTATATTTGAGATAAATAAATGTCTAGTCTTGTTTTCTATCAAGATCATTAGAATGTTTCTTTATTAGAAGTTTGCAAAATACGATCAAATTAAATTTCATGTCATCACGCGTAAATAAATCGTAAATTAATTGCTTTAAACTGGAGGAAGGGAAAATATCAAAACATTTATTTTGAATTTAGAAAAAAGGTTTATTTTATTGGTATTAAATCTGCTTTATATAGAAAACACAAATCTACAGAATTATCTTACAGTGTTGGGCGTTATTAATGATAGTGATCATTATCTACTTGAAAATATGTACTTATATTATTAGTCTGCTTATATAGCAAGTTCACAAGAAATTAATAAACAAAGAAAACGCTAAGCAAATTCGCTATATCGATATTGAAAACGTTTCGGAGTTCAGCTCCATCATCAGTTCGACAATCTAAAAATGAATAAAATCATATTATAAGTCAAAATTCTACGACAGACCTAAAAAAGACGAAACATTATGTCGAAAAACAGGACTCGATCGGAAAAACTTAATCCTAGAGGTCACGAAAAATATAAAACTTAAGGAAAAACACTAAAACATAAAAGATTAGCGTTTCACTATTTCAAGAGGATATGAACTAAGCACATTATTAAGATATGGTTTTCGTTTAAAGATATGTAGAGACTCCAAAATTCTCATATCCGAGCAGCCAGAAATGGAACCGAGTATCCCGAAATCACTCTCAGCTGCAGCCACGTCGCACTGTTCAGCATTTGGGCGCAAGGAAGAATGAGGAGGCTTGCTGAGAGGCAGGTTAGAACGACAGCTCCTGCCGCGGTGTTCAGAAACCCGGATGTAGAAGTTACGCGACGTCATTCCAACGTACGCAGATGCGCAGTGCGCACAACTGTACTCATAGACCAGCTGGATGGTTTTCAATCGTGCCTTGTGTTTAGTAAAATCAAAGGCTTCTTATCTAACAAATTTTCTGAAACTGTGACTGAATGCGATAGAAAGAAAACCCTTTATTGCACATTGTCCTATTTTGGTAGTGCGTCTGAAACTATGTCCAAAGAACTAAAGATTTTGTTTATGAAATATTTCCCGAGTATTAATTTTCATGTTTTGCTGGTAAATAATTTCAAAATTGGTTCTTTCTCCAGGTATACGGACGTTATTCCTACCCGGATGCGATCAAACCTGGTCTATGAGTACAGTTGTGCGCGCTGCGCATCGGCGTATGTGGAATGACGTCGCGAAACTTCTACATCCGGGTTTCTGAACACCACGACAGGAGCTATCGTTCTAACTTGCCTCTCGGCAAGCCTCCTCATTCTTCTTTACGCCTCCATGCTGAACAGTGCGACGTGGCTGTATATGAGTTATGAGAGTGATTTCAGGATGCTCGGTTCCACTTCTGGCTGCTCGGATTTGAGGATTTTGGAGTCTCTACATATCTTTAAACGAAAACCATGTCTTAATAATGCATTTAGTTCATATCTTCTTGAATTAGTGAATCGCTAGTCTTTTGTGTTTTAGTGTTTTTTCTTATGTTTTATTCTTTTCGTGACCCCTAGGACTAAGTTGTTCCGATCGAGTACTATTTTTCGATATAATGTTAGGTCTTGTTTAGGTTTTATATCTATCTTATAATTTTGACTCATAAAATGATTTTATTCATTTTTAGATTGTCGAACTGATGATGGAAACGTTTTCAATATCGAAACGTTTCCGAAACGTTTTCAATATCGATATGGTGAATTTGCTTGGCGTTTTATTTGTTTCTTAATTCCTTGCTAGGTGAGAAGTAAAAGTATAAGTGATTTTGAAAGCAATCAAAATATTTACCTGTATGATGGCGTAAATGTAAATGATGTTCTTGACGATAAGAATCAAGAAGATAAGCACTGACACGATATGACACCAATACACTGAAATTAAATGATAGGTAGCATTAGTTTGAATAGGATCACTTATGAGATGTTCGAGCAACTTCTACAAATAAAGAGGGAATTATTCACAGAATTATGTGACTGGGTGCAATAAAGTATCTTATTTGCATTGATAAAGAGCATATTAGTATCACATTTAAAATCCAAACCGTTTAATATCAGCTGATATTTTATTTGTAAATCTCGAGCTCTTTCCCGGCCCAAGCAAATGCTAGGAAGCAGCGATCTGTGGTAAATAGAACCCCCACTAGGATACAGCAATGCCACATCATTTGATCCCTTACTGCTGTAATGCACTAACAGTCGGAGCCCACCTACTTATTTTCAACTGTGCTTACAACTCTTGCCTTGCTGGTGCAACAGTAAATACACGAAAATAAAAGACTATAAACTTAAAATCGTACAAGAAGGGAAAGAAAACATCCTCCTCATATTTCCACATCCTCCTAATCTGTTATCCTAATGTCGCACCAATTGACGTTTTATTATTTTGAGGTTTTAAACAGGCACCGATTCTTCCAGATGTAAATTGAACTTAAAAAGAAGCACACATTCATCCGCGATTGTCAGTTAACCGTCAAGAGACCATGCAATTCTTCTTCCATAACAAAAAATTCACTTCACTTGATCGCAACTGGATTTCAGGAAATAGTTAAGTATACGACAGCTTACTCAGCTTTCGCAATGCTTGATTAAGCCAACTGAGACACCGCGGTTATCATTAAATGTAAAGGATTACAGAAATTATGTCGAACTTTAACTTACATAAAGTGATGAAGGGTTTCTCATCGTTGCTGGTAGCCTGTGACCAGTCAAAGCTGGTCCAAGAATGTATTAATTTGATGTTGGCCAGCACACAAATCTGGGGGGGGGGAATCTCACGAAAAAATCTATAATAAACTCGTATTAGGGAAACCGATGTGAGATTACCCTTGTTCATCCTGTTTTAAGTAATTTAATTCTTTACTTTATAAGATTATTTCATGTGACAAACTGCTATCTGTTTAGAAAAATTCAATCAACAGAATTGTGAACTGCACTACTTTGATGGGTTAATTCTGAAACCAACATTAATAATTCAAATCTGAATGGTCGAAATATTTGTATTCTCCCTAATACTGATAATTGTGAAACGTATAAACGACAATATTGCATTATTACGAATCTTCGGGTTGCAAAAGTCGTATCGTAATAATTAACGTATTAATTCATGGAGAAAATATTCAATTTTACACCTAAAAACGCCTAAACGGTTTACTTTTATTCAACTTCATATCGACATTAAAAGGTTTGCTATTAAGCTGAATTATTTCATATCCATTTTAGTGTTCACCGGAGTCTTAATTTTATCTTTAAGTAAATGTTTGAAGTCATTCAAGTGTGGACGGGTGAACCGCGAAAAGTCTACTCACCATCACGACGATTGCAAGCAGATAGCAGAGAATGCGTTTATTGCTCCGTTCGATTGCCATATTAGATTTCAACCCCTCAAGCCTCTCTGAAACAATATAAACTTATCAAATTTCATCCTACAATAATAAGTTCAATCGATGTGTATTAAATCATCTCTCGGGTATTTGGCTGACTACTTGAATCTTAAGCTGAAATCACAGTGGTCAATTACATTGTTGACCTTAACTTATCATTTATACATTGTAATACATATGCAATTTCTTTTTGTACATGTTTTATAGTGAAACGATTGTATTGAAAGTTGAAAATTACTTGACCGTTTCAAATATCGTTAAATGTATCAATACTCTATCTGCTTAGGACATTATCTCACCTATGTCCGTTGTTAGTGAACAACTTCAAACAGAGGTCAATATTAATGGATGGAAAATAGAACGGATTGTATTGTTTTTTATTGGCCTCATATATTAATACAAATGCTTCTATTTACCTCAATTTTACGCAGGAACGTAATATATGAATATCGATGTACGAGAAACGACCTTGTCAGAACTACTCGTTGCGGGGCCCGCCTGTGCACTAAGCAAGCGTAGCTCTGGGCTGGGGTTTGTGTTTCAATTCCTGTTTGTCATCAATCACTGCACGCTGGGGTGACTAGGTTACGTGACACCGAGCAGAATCATTAATAGGTCTAATGAAGTTGAGTGTGTGAAAAATATATTAATAAATTAAAACGCTATATGGTTCCCTATTCTATGTAAAGAATACTTCGTTTAATTTCTGGTGGCATATAGTAAACTAAAACTTGCAAATACATTACGTAATGTGACTCGGTTTGATTCATAATCGTAATCACTCACTGTGATTATATGCTATTTAAGATGATGTGATTTTATTTACGATATCCCTTCTTGATCAGGAGTTTGATAAACTGATGTTATGAAACCTTCTGATACTCACATTACACTCATGTTGAGAATAAAAGTCAGATATTTTAATTCTAATCATGGCAGTGCTAGCATTTTTTATATTATTTAAAACAGACGACAAATATATCTCTCTGTAAATAAACTGTAGATACAAAAAATATGTTTTAAGTGGCCATGCCAAAGGTTTTACCATTACTCGTGGGTTCAGTTATTATTATTTCAAATGATAGATCAGCGTCGTAGTTATGGCATGTTGTATCAGAATCATTAAGGGGCACACGATTGCTGTGGCCTGGTGACAGTGACATGGATCTCGTCGTGGAGCGCTTTATGTCTTCAGACCAGCTGTGAATAAGGCTTGGTTTATAAATTTTGATCAAAACTTGATTTAACAAATATTTTAATAATTCTAAAATATTCAACGTTGTCGGAATGTTCGCAAGTTTGTTGTATGTGCGGTCTTTTACCAAGAGATATTCAATACTCTTATGGATTTCTCAATATGACATTTTCTTTAATCAGAAAAATTTACAGAAATAGAGCTGTTTGACCAATGGTTTCTGTTGAATAATAGTTTCAGGCAACGTAAAAGATTCATAGTCGAGTTCTAATATTTAATTATTTTTATCTGCTTCTGATACTTTATTACAGAATCGAACGAATATAATTAAATAATTTTAAAATATGAAACCAAGTTTCATGTGTTAGCTTTAAGCTAGTCAATATTAGTCGCTAGGAAAAATTTTTACTCTATTTCTTGCTCAACAATCGCATATTTTTTGATGAAAGGGTGAGAGTCACTGCTTGCTCATTAATTGCGGGTTTTTTAAATGTCCCACTCTTCCTGTATGGAAACATTTGTTTAAAATTAAAGACCTGGCGCTTTATTCAAACCTGACGTGACTTTAATTTGACTAGAAGAAATGTCCGTAACTATTTCAGTTCTCACTAGCGATCTAAGAAGATATGAACAGCCATGCAAATTCATGAGTTTAAATCGATTAAATATTATAAATATTAGTGCGCACAAATGCCATAAAGCCCTAAGTCAGTTGACTACTAGATCCTGACGGATGCATGCCGTAAGACCTTCAGCTTTGCTACCACTTTCTCACGTTTTGATTCAGCTGCTTAGAAATATCCAAGCTTTAATCTTCCCATTGATGCATAAAGTTATTTGTACATGCAACATACCTGATATATTTATTTTCATTGCAAAGGTTCTTACCTTCGAGCGTCGATTGTTTCGATCGACAATTTTGTGGAAGCCTAAATACCCAAACACAAGCATGATGCAACCGGGCGTCGAGGATCAAATGCTTCAAGTTGAGTTTCGTATAACCAAAGCCTTGCGCTTTACTTCTTTCAATAATCAAGGCTGAAAATTACTGATTTCTGCGTCCACTGACATTTTACGTTTATAAACATAATCGTGCAAAATATCAGTAATATTTTTTAGTATATAGGAGAGAATATCGATTATTAGAACGAGGGTATTTTCCTTTGACAATGAGAGGTATAACTAAGTGAATACAGAATGCCTCGGTTGTACGGTTACTAATCGGCAAAAATAAGCAAGTTAGGATTTTGGGCGCGAGACACCCAGATATGTTACATGTTTGATGCTTATATTATTAATTTGTTCAAAACCCAGCAATGGTTGGGTTCCGAAGTTTTTTTTTTCAACCCACTGACCGCTCCTCACCGGTTGGAGACTTCTTCAGATTTTTGACGAGAAATTAATCACGTGGTAATGGACTTTAAATGGTTATTTTAGAATTAGAAAAACGTGCGTGCTTATCTATTATATTTATAGCTCGTATAAAATTAATTCCCTCCTGAATTGTGAGCTTGTCAATGAGTGATAGATGAGTATCTAGGATACTCTGCAGGCAGGTGCTACAAATCAGCTTTTACAGGGAAATTCTATAGAGATAACTATGAAGGGAGCAATAGGTTATATCACAACATATTTACACCATACCCACAGAGCCTCAACATTTAACGCCTGACGGAGAATTATCCATTCCCGAAAATTTATGAAGTGCAGATTAATTTAAGTAAACGTTGGTACGTATTATCCATATTTTTGACATATTTTAATTGTTACACTTTGTTTTAATTAGTATATTTTAGATTATGTCTGGAATTGTCACTAACTTTTGAGGATTAACAAATTCCTAAAAATCATCAATAAGACATAGCATTGAATCTTAAAATTATTATATACATAAATCTATCAACGATATTAAATCATATAATTTATTACAAATAAAATGATCTAGTTCATGTTTTCCCTGATACCAAGATACTAAATTAAATTTCAGAGCCCAATTATATAAATCTCGATTATGAATTTCACATTGTTGTTTCTTTCAATAACATGTTCCTTTCATCTGATTAGATTATATGCGATTATAGTAATTGTTATTGAACATCTTTAATTAGTAGATAACTTGAAAAACTATACATCTTCAATTGTTAAATCAACTGTTGAAATGTCACTCTAAGCTAGATATTTGTATACTTGCTTGGCAGTGGGATGTTGGCAGGAAATAGAATTTGAAGGTTAATATATCTCTATTGACCATTATTAAAACACAGAGCTCATAGCTTGAAATCCGATTCATAGCAGGTACAAAGTGAAAAACATTTAGAAGCGTGATGATCAAACAGGTTCACTAGTGAAGACATGCCAAATTTGTTATCAATTAAAGTCCTGGCGTCCAAACGACTTGATCTTTGCCCATCACCGACGTCACTTGAGCTGAGTACAAAGAATCTCTGGAAACATAAGATGTCGAGCCTCTCGAAAAATTCCTCCTCGATGGCAATTCACCGGAAATCTTCATTGCGTTCGATTTCAACTTTTGTTCCCCTATTTGTTTCCGGAATTCTAAACACTCTGGGTCTTTGCAACCCATCTGCAATCTTGAAAATTTAGAACGGTTCGATGATTCTGTCCTATGACCATTAGAAGTCATTAGCCCTACTCTAGGGTTGCTGTCGCTTGAGTGAGTTGACGTTCCTTTATGCGGCAAGTGCGCCGCAAGGCTTTTGTTGTCACCTAGAAAAACCTTCTCGCAGAGTTTCCTGTACTTGTGGACCTCTTGCACAGCCACTCGAATCTGAAAAATTTGAATATTTTTCAAGATATAGTATTAAACTTAATTAAAGTATCAAATATCTCTGCTTGGAATCAAAAATTAAAATCTGTAAAATGATGGAGAAATCCATTTAAAACAGAAAGTCAATAAATACACAAATTTTGGAAGGCTCACGAGGTAAGGCAGTGGATTCAAACAACTGGAATAGTTTTTGATATTGCCATTTCTCACCTGAAAAATTGTTTTAAGATTGAACATTGGCGAAATTAAAATGAGTACAAATAGTATCAAATGAAAGTAGAACGATCTAGTAATTCATTTGTGCACCAATCGTTTACTCATTTTGCTGTTCGGATTGCAATAAATTCGCCTGATAAGCTTCTCTCATTTCGAAGTTACTGATTGAGACTTGCAGTCTTGATGTAATCGAGAAAATGTTTGGATATTTGTCATTTCATGAGCTTCACAACGTTTAATGATACCTTATTTAGAGCAGTGGCGGGATTTTTGTTAAATTAAGAGTTAAAACGACCTGCAGGTTGGGTTAATATAGTTCATCAAATTGAGCTACTGCAATAAAACACTCATAATATTGAGATTTTCGTCCAAGTTGTCGCAAGTATACAAGTAGAGTAACACTTGACTTGGAGGTGACATGTGTTTCACGTTTGAGGTGAAAATTTTTCGGTTTATTAAGGGGAGCGTCTATGTGGTGAAAAAACGATTTTATTTACGGGCGGATCACTTTAAAACTTGGTACACCTATGTAAAACAGAATTCTAAGACTTTTTTGTTCATGTAAATTTTTTGAAAAAATGAAAGAAAACGTGAAATTCTTAGGAAACGGCAAAAAAGGGTGTACTATATAGAAATCTATCTCCTCATAGGATTTTGAAGCTACAGCCCCCGATCTCTGCCGCGTCTACGTCGGGGGGGTACCCTGGCCCGCGCGTCGGTCGGATGCCCGGCATTCACGTGGGTCAGGCCAAACGGCAGAGGCCCCCTCCCGCCCGGATCGCTACCGGACGGAGGCTCCTACAATTTTTCTCCTAAGGACAGGGGAACCTCGGCCTCCCCTTCCCCCTATACCCACATCTTTGGCCGCCTATCTTTCCTGGGGCTCCTTGTGTCCTCTCCTCCCATCTTTTCTTCCTACTCGTTCTTCTTCTCCTGACCCAGGGTATCCGCCCCAACCCTGGCCCGCACCCCTGCTCAGTCTGCTCCCTCCCAGTTACGTGGCGAGGATATTCGTTTCGATGCTCCAGGTGCAATGCCTGGACCCACAAGCGATGCTCCGGTCTGCGCTCCATTAGTCTCTACTCCGAAGATTGGATCTGCCCTACGTGTAGACGGTCTGACCCGTTCCCAGACAGACCCTCCTCTCCACAGTTCAACTGCAATGGGGTAAAATCCAGTGCAGCTGAACTGGCTGCCTACCTCGTCAAGAGCGACGTGGCGGTTGCGTGTCTCCAAGAGACTAAACTATCAGCTGCATCCCGCCCCCCCTCTCCTTCCCCGGATACGCGCTGGAGCGCAGGGACCGCCCCGGTGGTCACGGTGGCGGTCTCCTCATCCTGATTCTCCACGATGTCCCGTACACCGGGCGAGACATCTCACCCCTCCTACGCGGCGACACTTCCATGGAGGCTATAGCAATCCCCACTCCTCTTAATGGCTCCCCTCTCTGCATCATCAATGTCTACATCCCACTGGCCTCCTCCTGCCCTCCGAGATATTCCCCGGAGCTTCCGGACATTGTCTCCATACCGGGCGACTGTCTGATAGTTGGCGACTTTAACGCCCATCATCCTTCCTGGTTTTCCCATACGGAAGACCAGAGAGCCGCAGCGCGAGGAGCTGTAGTTGACGACCTAGTCGCCGTTTTCTCCCTCGCCTACCTAAATGAGGATTCCCATACCCGCCTCCCCTCCCACGGCCCGCCTTCCTCTCCGGGCCTCACCATCATCGGCGATCATCTGCTCCTCGACACCTCCTGGATTCCTCAAGTCGCTCTCAACTCGGACCACCTGCCCATTCTGATTCATCTCCCTTCCTCCGTCGACTCTCTGACCTCCCGGGCCGCCCGCTCATACGTCAACTTTAAAAAAGCTGACTGGCCCGCCTACACGGTAGCCATCGAAGCGGCACTCGAGACGGTCCCTCCCCCCACCACGCGTGGCGGTGAATCGACCCTGAGTGAAATCTTGACGACTGCTTCCAGACAGCATATTCCTGCCGGATTCCGGAAGGACTTCTCCCCCTCGGTCAACCCTGGCACCCGTTTGCTCATCGAGCAACGGGATGCCATCAGGACGCGTAATCCAACAGACCCCCGGCTCCCAGAACTAAACCTGGAAATTAGTATCTCCATTCAGTTCCATGCCAGGAACACACAGCGAACACATCTTGCGTCGTGCAGCAGGCGCACAAACCAGTTTAAGCACTGGAATCTCCTCCGCTCCTTAGCCGGAAAGCGAAACCGCCCTCCCCTTAATCAGCCAATTCAATTTGGTCTGAATACCCTCTCATCCCAGCGAAAGATCTCTTCCGCCTTCTGCAAGTTATTTACTTCGATTGCTCCTCACTCCCAAAGCCCCTCCACCCGCCGCCTCATACGTCGAATCCGGGCTGAACATCCACTCGATAGGGACTTCACCCCGTTCACACCCGACATGGTGAAGCTCGCCATCGCAGCCGCCAACAACTCTTCCGCTCGAGGTCCAGATGGCCTCACGGTCCTTCATTTTAAGCACTTCGGCCCACGTGGGATCCAGTTCCTCACCCATATTTTTAATATCTCCGTCTCCACAGCCTCTATCCCATCCATTTGGAAAAATTCAATAATTATTCCAATCCTCAAACCGGGCAAACCCGAAAACCAGGGCTCCGCATACCGCAACATGGTTTCAAACCGGGACATTCCACTGTCACCGCCCTACTCCCGCTCGCGCACCAGATCACGACGGGTTTTAACTCTCGGCGCCCTCCAGCCCGCACATTCGCCGCGGCAGTCGACCTCTCGAAGGCATTCGACAGTGTCGACCACCCTCTCCTCCTAAGCATGATCGCGGCCTCGGACCTATATCACAACCTGGTATGCTGGCTGTGCTGCTACCTCCGAGGCAGGCAGGCATCTTGCCTCTACCTCCGAGGCAGGCAGGCATCTTGCCTCTACCTCTGAACTCAATCGCCTTTCAGAGCTCAATCGTTCCCCAGGGCTCGTTCATCTCGCCGGTACTCTTTAACCACTTCATCTCCGACAACCCAGTGCCGACCCCAACATTGCCTCATACGCCGACGACCTTACCATCTTCGTGTCGTCCCTGAGGCTCGACGCTGCGGAGGCTGAGCTCGCCTTGCTCCTTCGCAGCGTCTCAGGCTGGTCTGCTGACAAGAAACTGACCGTGGCCCCTGGCAAGTCCTTGGTCACGCTCTTCACTCCAGACACGCACCAATCCCGATACCACCCATCTGCCACTATCTGCAACGGCATCATCCCCCTGGATAAAACCCCCCAAATCCTAGGCGTCGCCTGAGAAACACACTTCACTTTCTCCCTCTCATGCAAGAGCCGTAGCCTCGAAAGCGACGGGTTCTCTCCGCATCTTAAAAGCCCTTGCTGGCACCAACTGGGGCTTCTCCAAGGAGGACATAATTGCCATCTACTGAACCATCACGCGCCCAATCTTCAACTACTCGGCCCCCATCTGGTACCCTGTCGCCTCATGCACAGCAATTGCCAGTCTACAAACAATACAAAACACTGCTTTGAGACTAGCCACCGGCTCCCTCAAAATGGTCCCGATCGCCCATCTCCACCAGGAGACCGGCGTCCTCCCTCTGTCCGCGCACCTGGACCTGGCTTGTGCCCAGTTCCTTGCCAGCGCCCTCCAGCCCTTCCATGCCTCATTTCGCATGGTTTCTGCCCCTCTCGGGGACAGCCCTATGAAAGCCTCCATCCAGTCGAGATTCGGTCATCTTGTCACACACCCTCCCTGCCTTCGCCCATCTCCCCCCTCTTCCGGTGCCTGCCCCCCGCCCACCTCCTGAGCCTCCACCCCAGCGAGCGTGACGGACGCAATAAACAACAACAACAACAAGCTACAACATCGAGACGCATATTATTCGATGCGTAAGGACCATATCTATAGATTCGTCGTAGCTTTTTTGAAATTCGAAAGGTTGCGGGTGTGGGGGAATTTTTCGTCAAATTTTCGAAAATTTCTCGATTTCCCTTTTCCCCCCCCCCCTTTTTCGAAATATTTTCAAAACTATAAAGAAATTGAAAAAAAAGCTACGCCCAATCTCTAGATCTTTTATTTGCGAATCGAATGGTATATCTCTCACTTCTGTAACTCTAAAACTGTAGGAGGAGATAGTTTTCCAGTGACAATAAGTGTGATTGTTCAGCAGAGCCCGTCAAAGTCCCGGGCGACTCGAAATCGGCATTCAAGGTTGCAAGGATGCAAGACCAGACACTACTGATGCTAAATCTCTGTCAAGGATGGTGGGAACGACAGAGCGCTCACCATCTCTCACGATTGTTGAAGAGTTACTGGATCGGAGAGTGCTGTGTGACGACTAGCTATTTAAGGTGAACTGAGGCATTTACTCCCTATGTTGAATGTTAAAGAACTCCACCAACCCTTACCCTTTCGAGATCTGTCGTGAACGCATAAATCAACGTACAGAGATTGATTTTGGTACCGTTGGATAGGTCAGACTGTCAGTTCTAAGATGAAACTAAAAACCGGAAAAGTCAAAATTGTCGATTTTGGACATAGACGCTCCCCTTAAAGGATGTTTCAATGAAGTTAGGAAATTTTCTCAACGATTACCTGAAGGGGGTGCTTGGCAGCATGAGCCGTGGCAGTGTTGAATGGGAAGACTCGCACCCAGCCGCCCTGGGCGCCGCTTTTTGCACGCTCCTCGCGCTGCATCTCCTGCGACCACGAACTCGTCTGCCGGCGGCTCGAGTCTGTGCGAAGTCTTTGTTTTCAACTCAAACACTCATGGGTTATGAAATGTACATTCTTCTTAAATTAGGAAACAACCTATTCAGAGTTTTTTCATATAAATGTAAAACTATTCTATCTATCTACATATTGATTGGCAAAATAAATTTAATTAAGCCCTCGTACCAACAACATCAAAAATTGAAATAACCTGATACTAAAAACAAGCTGCAAAAATATTTCAAATTATTGAGATGAAGATTTTTACCAAAATCTTCCAATAGGTAATTTTTGGTACTTGTGGGTGCTCGATCAGAGCTGGCATACAAGTCCCAGCATCAATGCTAATTTGATACGTGCACACTATGGCTTGTCATTGATTTCAAGATCGAATCGAATTATTTTCGATAAATCTGCGTCTGATATGTCCTTAGTACCTATAGAAGCGCTGAGAAGCTGTTTCCGAAGTCTCTGAAAGGATGAGTTGAAGGCGACTGGGACGAAAGTCTTGGCAGAAACTTCCTCAGCAACTTTGGCATCAGACGATAAATTTCTATCCACTTCTTCCTCGGAATGGTTACATAGCAATTTTCTAGCTGCCGGCCTACGTGCCAATATATATGCATAAGAATGCGCGTTAGAAACTGTAAATTTTCGTGCAGTCAAACGCAATGACGACGCTTCTAAGCTTGTATTTGATGAGGTATCAGAAGAAGAAGCGTGGAGATCGCCTTGATTTGAAAGAAACTCTTCTTTTGAGTAACTTAGCCGGCCACTGGTCTGTAAAATTCCAAGCTTGACTGAATTCCCTTTTAACGGGGTACTTCCGTGGCCATTCACAGTTTTCGTTTTGGAAATGTTTGATTTTATTTTTAGCCCTTGCCCGAGTATATCGGGAAATTTATTGTAGTGAAGTCTGTTTGTTACTGCCACACCCTTAACGTGAGAGAGAGGCCTTTTGCGTTTCAGTGGAGACTTGCGTTTACTTCTTTTCATGGAACGAGCCTCTTGAATTGTCAAATCTGATCCGGGAAGGACAGTGGAAGCATCAGAAGCGCATAAGAAATGATTTTTCGAATTATATTCTGACTTTAAATCATTTCCGTGAGGAAAATCTGTTTTTAATTGCATGCAGCGCACATTTTCGGATTCAATAATAATTTTGGTCTTTTCATTTTTATTCACTTTGTATGGGATCAAAGAATCATTAATTGGTGTTCCTAGAGTGAATTTTTTCTCATTGAAAGTTTTTTCTAATAGGGTCTCCGGACTATCTATATCAACTGAAATGCAAGTTTCTTCATCGGTGGAACTCTTTTCGAGTGCATTAGTATCTCCATCTTCTAAAGTCTCCCAGCTTCGAAAAACGTATTTCCGATTATTTCCAGCGTCGAAAGTATAAGAATACTTACTGAATTTGTCCAACACTAAAGAAGCACGCAAGCTCTTGCGAGTACCAGCTTTCCTTGTCTTAACGTCAGAACTAGTAGGACGAGATCTGCCGACGTAGCTGTCATCCATATCAATTGGACCACTAGGTAGTCGTATATCCGAGTCACCCAATGAGACAGGAATATCATTTTCCTTTCCAGGAGGATAGTTCACTGTATTAGTGTTAATTAATGTATCTGAATTTGCCAGGCACTTTTTCAGCGTCTTTGAACTAGCATTGTTTTCATTCTTAGAATATGATCCATTTTCTGAATTCATGTATATGCCTCGACTACTGTTTTCAGTTGTGGAATCAAAATTTTCGACAGAGTTCAGTTTCTTTCCTGAAACTTTTCTGTCCACAATGTTATTCTTTTTTCTCATAATCACTCTATCCCGCGAACTCGTGATCGTCTTAGGAAACAGTGCATCACCCGAAGAATGCGCATTGATTTTGGGAGACGGATTTTCGGATCCACAATCTTCGTAGTCGGTAGAAGAACTTCCCTCGTCCCATGACGATACACTGTTACTCGACTCCCACGTTTTCGGCAATTTACGAGGCGGATTTAACAGTTTGTCCACAGTTTGCGCAACTCTTGGAGGACCGAGCAGATCGAAGAGGTGGTGGAGCATGGGCTTCTTCACGTATCTGTCGACGTCGCAATCATATGATAGCGAAGGACATCTGTTCACTTCTAATAACCACGGGTTCAAGTTCTCATCCACCTGAAAATAATATACATACTTACTTTATATTGTGGTAACTATCAGTTATACTGTATATCATTCGAGAATGGCATTTATAGGAGCTCTTTGGGGTTCAGCAAAGCGTGGAAACCTGGCCGTGGACATGAATAGTCGACGTACATTCATTCAAATTTGTGATTACAGTGAAAATTAAATGTGTAAATGCGACTAAATGAAAGAAATAAAAGTGTATAAATAAAATTTAATGGCACATGACGTCTGTCAGTGCAATAGAGATTTCAGTTCGTATCTATTTTTTATGTGCGTAACACATTTCTTGTTTAAATTTAACCTACGTGATGCTATATGATTTATGTTATTTAACCTTTTATCTTCTAGCAGTTATATTCTCTCATTTTTATATCTTTGCATTTGTCTTAGTACCCAATCACAAACATATTCTACTAAACATTTCGCTTATCCTTTTGCCGAGTTTTCACTTATTTCTAAAACATGATAGGCTATAGTGGGACAATTTTCTAGCTAGGCTATTTGTTTTGATAAATTTTATAATAGAGGAAAAACCAACATTTGATTTTGATACCACCTTCGTATTTAAAGCCCAACGTGATCATAAATACTACATTATGGTTCCCTCGAACCTCATCAAAATTGTATTAACATAAAATAACATAGAGATGTCGGCGCTGAAGAGTAGGCCTGATACGGCCTGTCGCCGATTCTTGTACTTTTTGTGACTTGTTCACAGAAGATCTGAAATCGTGTCCTCTGACCGGATCTTTTCAAGACTTACGATAGTTTGAAATTGCTACTAGACTTTAGTGACTTTATCTTATTTCAATTGATATATCAGTAAAATCATAAAATTCGCGACGTTTTATAAGAAATTTAAAGTTTCACTCACGATAACGTCGAACCCGTAGAGCTCGAAGCAGTTGGCAACGCCATGCGGCAGTGTGGCGTCGGTGTTAAGTTTGGCGACGTGCGCGAGGAGGGTGAGCGAAATGATGCAAGATATCCTCTGCCACAGCAGCCAGTCCTGTACTCCTGACGTCGATAAGTGGTGACGTAGTTGACGCAGACTCCATTTGCAGCCTGATGATATTCAATTGTGTTTAATGTTTTAGAAATTTGATAATCTCGGAGATAAGTATTTATTTGAGATTAAGTCATATTACCTGAGCTACATTTCATGGTAAATAACATTCGTGAAGTTAATCTGAAACAAAATAAATTAATTTCGAAAATCTCAGTGAAAACTGAATTGAAAACATACTAATTTGAAGAGAACTTTTGATGGTGTTTGAAGAATTTACATTCAATCAAAACTTAGCAGTTTTTAAATTAAAAAGTGTACTGAAATATTTTATAAGTTCATATTCGTGTTCTGACAAATAGTTATGAAGTAATTTTAAAAACAACATCCAACTGCTATATTTTTAATGTTTTTATGAATAAATTCGGTACAATATAATTATGTCTATACAATAAAGGTGTAGATTCGTTGTTCCTTGTCTTTTGTATTTAGCTGCGTTGACACGAAAGCAAACTTGTCTAAACTTTGAGCAAATAAATGCATTTATTGTCCGACATTGCATGCAACGTATTATTTGTCCTGAAAATGGCCCATAAAATAATGATAATCCATAATTTAATGGTAAGCTACGATAATTATTATACCTTCAATGATCAAAATTGCTCACCAGCGCCCACTCTGTCCTTCTCGACGCTGTACCCCGGCGAAGTCTTATTGAGGGAGGTGTTGGTAAGGTGGCTGTAGGGCCGGTCCAGGGTGGAAATGTTGTACTTTTCCGTGCCAAATCTGGATAATATAAATGATTAGTTTATGAAAGACTTATACTAGTGCTTATACTTCTATACATATACCATTAGTTCATGAAAGAGTTAAACTAATGCTTATACTTCTATACATATACCTCAATTGCGGTTTGCGGATATGAATAATTCGCCATGTGGATTCTTTCTTTTCAGAAATCTGATCGTCGGCTTAGAAAGAAATGAGCTTTTCTAAGATAATGCAGATATCATCCCAAGATTGTACAGTGTTATACATTCAAGCAGAAATTCGAAAGACTAATTAGAGAGATTAGAACACGTATGTATGTTGTAAGTCCCGTATAATGTAAAGAATTGCCAACGGACCTGACAATTTTCTCACGGTATACGAAGATGGTGAAAGTGAGAGGCTAGTAACCTCAAAATACTGTTGAGAATAGAAATATTTGAAAAATTCTAAACAAGCAACGTTTCTACTTCGAAAAATCATCAACGGACCTGACAATTCCCTCGTTGTATATGTAGAGGGTGAGAGGGGACAGGCTGGTAACCAGCACGTAGAGGCGCAGGTCGCACTTGTAGCCGCCCACCAGGAGAGGGCGCGCGATGTAACGCTGCACCACAGCGCTCTCGCCGTAACTCAGTTCGTGGACATCCTGTTACGGTAAGAATTCCTTTAATATTATCAGTTAGTCACTTATTACGGGCTGATGAGAATGAATATGATAAAAGAGGAGTTAAACATTGAAAAGCTGCAATTTTTCTTGTGGATCGCTCTGAGACCAAGCTTGATAGAAAAAATCTCCATCAATTACCAGAAAAGTTATCACGCTGTGTTTATAGAGTTGTGTAAAAAAATTTTCCCCAGGGCATTTAAAGCCAACGCGCCACACTTCCGGAAATATGAGGTTAGGTTTTTTTATTGAACTGTTATATTTAGATAAAATTTCGAAACTGCCATTTAATTAATCCATCACAGATCTCTAATAAGCATGGTATTAGAAAAAGAATATTAGTAAAGGAATCAGTTATTTAGTATCACGAACAGTGATTTAATTAGTATATTGGCTATCATTTGATTTTCTTACGTCAAATATAGCGATGCCTTTTCCTTGAGAGCTCGTTGTTGGCTTGCAAATCCAGACGTTTGCTTCTTTTTCTTCATTTCCTGTTAATTTGGCTGTTGGCCAAGAAAGAATGTTCTCATTCGAAGTCTTTCTTGATGCTTCTATCGAATTGGATATATTACACTGATCGAAATCATCTTCCGGTGTGACACATAAGGTTTGAGATGCACAGGCATCACTAGCTGATTGTTCAAAGTCATTTTCGCGATTATCCTTATCATGCTGAGAAAAACCAGCCAATTTTTCGTTAATCACTGATCCACTCTTGGAATTTGATGAATTTTCATCAATATTTGTGAATCCATTTGTTTCTTGCTGCTTGGAATCATAATTATTTTGCAATTCCTTCAGATTATCCATTCCACTCTTGCTTAATGAAGAATTGCGTGTCAAAGTAGTGGAGGTCGGCGGAAAATGTCTCGAAGAAAAGCTGTACCTTGTTGTTCGATTGTGCTGCAACGAAGCACTTGAACTAATTGACCAGGACGATGAGCAGTTGTTGATGGTAGTTGCAGCTGTTGACGTGTTGTAGTTGACTAGGCGAGTATACTCGGCTACTAGTTTTGTATATTCACATGGTAGCAGGAAAGTTGTAGGACTGTTGAACATGACAGTGCATGACAATATATAATAATGTATGATAATACAAAACAGGTTAAATGATCATTTATGTAAATAACGTTAATTTGAGATTTACAGTATGAAATATAAAGTCTTTCATATTATAATGGCACGATTTATTGCAAAATTATAATAACACTATTAAAAATGCACGACTTTACGTAGTGATTCAATTTTAAATTTTTATCGCTTGAAACTAGTCAAAAAATCTTATATCAAAAACCCTCGTTTCTTATTGTTTTGATTTTATTTGTATTCAATACTTTTTCAAAAGGATTAATGAGATTAAAAGTTTATTACCTTATTTTTGTATTTTTAGTACCTTCACAATAACTTGCTATACCTATAACTAATGTACAGTAGCGCAAATCCTGCATTTTATCGTACATCCTATATCGTATCGTTTTATAAAATATGCATAAGAGAACTCACTAGAAATCATAGATGGACCCAAACGTCTTACGCATGCTCTGCAGCGTTCTAGCCAAAACATCTTTCCTGCAGAGACCCTGGCTCTTCGGGATGTGACTTAAAATCTGAAAAGGCAGAGGTTTTATTAGCCCTTTAGCGACCAGCTACCTTGCGAGTGCAAAATACTACATTGCAACCATACCCCATTGCTGAAACTCATTAATTAAAAACAGGCGACAAAATCCTCCAACTGAGCATATCACAAACTGAAATTAAATTCAATATATTTGTACAATTGGACGAAAGAGCTTCAACAATATTCAAAAATTGCCCTATGAAAGGCGACAGAGATATGTACAGCTAAAAGGTTATGGGTCGTGCATGATATCATCGTTTTCCTTGTTTCCTTAATCATCGTTAGCGGCACCAACCACAAAAATCTCAATGTCAAAGGTTGTCGGTAAGTGTAACGAGCTTCTTAGTTAAAACATTGTAAACAACGAAGAAATATGATAAATATGATTAGAACATAAACATAAATATAATTAGAACATAAATGTTTCTAATCATAAATATGATTAGAAACATGATGCATATGGAACAGATGTAAAATTATACGTCGCTTCATACAGTGGAACATCAAAACGATACAAATAATAAATGAATTTAATTGCTTAAAGTTAATTTATTACTCTATCATTCATTTTGACTAGATTTATGCACTTTCATTATAAAGTACAATAGACCTGATGAGGTGCCAGTTTTGCGTAGAGGCTGAGCGGGAAGCCATGTCTCCACCAGATGTGCCACGCGTCGTTCTCTGCACATTTGCTGCGACTGCTCAAGTTTGCCGCGTCATTCTGACTACCATTGTTTCGACTGCAATCAAGTGAAACAATAATCAATGTCATTTCCATTGTTATAAATCATTGTTATTTTCAATGCCTAAAATTAGCGAGAGAAGGAATATCGTTGGAGTCATTAATCTCGAGGCAATCCTATTAATATTCTCATGTTATTTTGAGTATAATTTGATAAATTAATAAAATTAAATTACCAACTCCGATCCGACCAGCTGCTCTTTTTCTCGTCATTCCAATTGATGTTGTTAGCGTTGGTTGACGGAGTCCTAGGGCAGCTCGAACCGGCGTCTTCGGAGTTGTCTCGTAAATTAGGGCTTTTATTGTGGCTTGATTCTACCCATGGTAACCAGCCTCGTTCTCTGAAAACCTAAGATATCGAACGAGTCTATCAAACTATCTTCTCTTACTCCCAATACAAACACATGAATTAATAAATTCGAAAATAAAAAACTACACGTAACTACACTTCATAATGATGTGAGAAATATTACAGAAATATTATAATAGTACAGAACTAAATATTTACACCGCATGAATATAAATAAGAGCCTCTAAAAAGTGGACTTCCAGTGCTATTTTATTCATTCACTTATTTATTTTTGCCTAATTCATCTGCCAATCAGCTTAGAATTACAGTCATTGAAGACTATTTTACACATCTAGCCAAATTTTTGATTATTGATTACATTCATTTCTTAAAAATGGCGATTTTTTAAATTTGCTTCCCCACAAATAAATACATAGACAACAGAAAACAAACTAAATTCAAGGTCTCTATTTAAATTAATATACCCTCGCCATGAGCCTGTATTGCATTCGATACGCTGTACTCCCCCAAGTCTGTAAGCTATTTTTGCAGCAGGTTTGGTATTCAATTTAATCCAAGGTTGCCGGGAAGAATGGCCGCTATAGCGCGAACTGTTTGCGCTTATCCGCGCTCTAAATAACCGTGTTGTTTGTACTCGCCATGACTCCGTTTAACCTTTAAAAGATGCCGCTCTTCGTTAAAATAGAGTCTTGTTTATGTTCTATGCATAATTTTTTGTAAGGAAAATGTCGTATGAAGATGCTGAAACACATTTATTTTTCTTATTATCTTGAAGTTGGTTTCATTCATTTTTATATGAAATTTTTTGAAGTTTAAATATCGTTTTGTTAAAAAATTTAAAAAGTTTAGATATCGTTTTGAAAGTGTACTATGCAATTAATTATTAATTTATATTTACTTTTCAAACTCCAATGTTAGAGTATTTGATTTAATTTAGACTATTTGATTTATTATTTTTTTTCTCTTGTTGAGCCATTTAGAATCGCTTGATATTCAGTAATACTTTTCTGAAAACAATAAATAACTCGTAACTACACTAAAACGGTGATAATTTTTATGAAACTCTTTCATTAATATGAAGCGTATTACAGACCATCAAAGGTTATCATTTCCCATCCTCCATCAAGCTCACCACGCAAATTTAAGGCTGATATAATTAACGTAACTGCTGGGCTTCGATTTTGTTGCGGTGAAAATTATATATCAACTTTACTTCCAGTTGAATGTGGAAATCCAGCCAAAAATTCTGCGCACGAAAAATTCTGCGCACGAGCAGAAAATACGGTCTAAAAATTGCATGACATAACAAATCTTTTACTAAAATGTTACTAGAATTGTAATTTTTCCTTACTAACAGAACGCAAAATTATTCACTTCACGAGTTTATTTAATTCCATCATAGTGAAGTAAAATTATTCACTTTGCGAGTATGTTTATGGCGGTATTAAATAAAAAGAAGCTCACCTCTAGCAGGAGTTCTGGTCCAGAGTTGTCGTCATTGACGCGGTAGTATACCTGACCGTCTACGGTCATTTTTCACAACACCGACTGCAGTCAAGTTCGATGAAGTGTTGGCAAAGGATAAATGTTATGTTGATTATGATGGACTAAAAATTATTTTGATATTTTGAATACAAATACTACTAATTTCGTTGTTTTCATATAAAGCCGTATCAACGGTTCAACCTGAATTAATATAAAAGTATCTAACGATGGTTTTACCATTTCATTCATTTATGCTCCGTATTCTCCAAATTCTGTGGATAACCATGGAGCCATAATTATGTATCTGTCTGAAACTCCAATTTAAAATTAAGAAATTCTTCAAAATGCCGAGACATGCATGTAGTTCACATTTTTGGCATGGAACCCGAGGCTTTATTGGGAAGGGCAATGAGCTCATTTTTGCGTGTGACAGAAAAAATTGGCTTTGAGTTCTGATCTCGTATAACTTTATTTTATTAAAAAGTATATCATATAAAAAAATCAGCAGCCGTTGACTCTTGAATTAGCTATGTGCTAGGCATTTATATACAGTATATACCAAACGTCCAGAGGATTATATGACCGAGTTAATTAAATATAGGTTCTAAAAACCGTAGATTTTTTGTCATGCTTCGTGCCCTGCAATTCGTTCATTCACAGAGTGAAAATTGGACGTAAACCAAATTAGACGTTACAGACAACACTGACAAATTAATCAAAAATCCTATTTATTCAAAGTAACCCTTATATTTTGCCTATTTATAACTGAACTGATATTAATTTAATTTTTTGTATCGCGACGAATGCATGTCAGTGTACATTCCTCAAAACATTGGAATCAATATCCACAAATTTTTTTTTGATCGTCATCGGAAGAAGGGCACGTGCTGGAGGCTCAGCAGGTAGAAGAGATACACACCTGTACGCGTCTGAAGCCACACTGACCCTGCTGACGCGCTGACATCTTTTTAAAAGCCACAGCGATCTAGATTAATGAGTAAATCTAAATCTATGGAATAGTTGCGTGAGGCATAAAAAATGTGGCGTGTGATCCCTCCATTGTTTCTTGCCACCTCTGTTGATTAAAAAGAAGCTGTAGGTGGCGCTGGCGTAAAGCTTCCTCTATTTTTAGCAGCAACAAACGTGATTGAATTTCTCACCTTGACGGTTTGCCTGGCGCATGCAACCAATTACGTAAACGAGGCGTCAAAAACTGTTATCGTTTATGCGCATGATGAAAAATAAATTTCTCTAAAAATGAATTTCTACATGCATTTTTCATATCGAAGCCCGTGTAAACGTAAACAATTAATGCTGTTTAAATAATTTCTGTTCCATTTAACTGCATCGTTGCAATTGTATTCAACCTTGACTTTTGTGCAACAAACCTAGCTGGTGTTTTGTATTACAAATGAATTTCTCTTTGATGTATGAACCGCTGGGTGGACGGAGAAGATAGACATTTTGGTTCACATCAGCTGGAATACGCACACGTCAATTAAATGGTTCGCTAAGATTCAAATTGGCATCTTCTAATAGATTCAACTTGACATCTTCATTTTATTCTCTGTACATCGAGTATTTTTTCTCACTTCTAGGCTTGATTTTTTGTTCATCTGCGTGTATTTATATAAATTATCAAATATTATTTTAATTATGTATATTTTTACCGTGTATCTTCTCTTTCAGCATTGTGATATGGTTCTAACCGAGGATCATTACATGCATCTGCAATAAATACATTTTCCAACGTAGTTTCCTCGGAAAAATAATGATGCCTGGTAAAAGATCAAAGTTAATGCCTTTAATCGCGCCTCATTGGACAATTATAAGGTACGGACTTAATCCTGTTCCGGAAAAATTAACAGGAGTAACAGTCCATAGGAAAGGACAAGTTATGCAGCAAAAGACATAAAGATTCATCAAACTCAATCAGAAAATAATTGAAAGAAGTGATGTACACGACAATAAGCAGGATGTAATGTTTGAGTTTCAATTCTAGGGAATAGAAGAGCGTAGTGCCATAACTTTGTGTTCCGCTTTCCTTGTTTTTATAGCTGATATTCACCTAAAAATCATACGTTATCGGTTACAAGTTAAATCGAATAATGAAGCTGATTTTTAATTTATATCAATATTTAAAAATTTTCATTGATAAAACCTATTAAGAAAATTAATACGATATCAATCATAATAAAGAGGGGCAATGTGCAACTTTTTCTGTCAGCAGAAAAGGCAACAAATTCGTCAAATGACCTTCAGTGGAAGGTATGTTGGATTATTTAGATGCTCTAAATCATAAATAAACAACGACCTGATAATAACCATTATGTGGAATGAACAATGATGTGCAATCCGTTATGTTTGTATCGAATAATCCAGTAATATTTCATTCGGTATAAACTTTATGCTTCAGCATCGTTCCGTAAAACATTAATTAATTTAATGGAGCCAGTAAAAACAAAGCTTGGTATATTTAGTACGAGATCACATTGTGAAATATGCACCCCGATATCAGTAGCATTAGACTGGTGCCTTGCCGTGCCATTCAACAGCTAACTTGCATGGCAGTATTGAACGTTAGTGCCACCAATGTGCATGCATCAGCTGACCAAATTACCGTCCTTGATACCCGCGGTCACGCTATAGTCAACACCTTAGAAGACATCGCATCCAAAATTACCTCATGAATATTCAAATTGCAGTGGCATTCCAGTCATTATCATTTTGTTTCCTCAATGGATTCCTGTGAGTTGAAATTTCGATGATTTAGACTAGAGAAAAATCCAGTGCAAGAAAAATAGTCACCAGTTAATTCATAATAATAATAATAATAGGAAAAATAATCACTATTTAATTAATTTTCAATGGGATTCAACTGGCTAAAAAGATTACAAGCTCCGGCTCAACTCAGATTTCCATTTTGGGCAAAGTGTAGATTGTTAGGGAGTTTGCAACATGTTGGATTTTCTTTCAGAAAATCGACGCATGCATTGCAATCATCACCCGAAATATTCCAGCCATGAGTTTTACGGTCTTTAAATCGGGCTTTTTCGCTGTGAATAATAAGGAAAATTTAATACAAGGTAATGATTGGTTTTAAACTTTTGAACATCAATATGTTATTATATTTTTAATAATCTGTTTAGGTTCAACACAAAACTGTTGACGATTTGACTCGGCAATTTGTTAAAAGGTTCCAGATATATATATAAGCTTAGCTTGCAATGCGGTGCGAGACTGAAATAATTTTTAGCTGCAATCATTTTAGAGTTTCCCTACTTGCATAATTAGACAATGATAACCAAAAAATTGTGATACTTGCCAGTTCGGCCAGCTTTAGATCAGTAATTAATATTTTTTTTTATTTCTAAATAAATGCGAGCTTCATTTCAAACTTTTGTTTTTCAGGCAAAACTATTGTCAGTCTTTCACCATGCAAAAATTAATAATGCAATCTTGAAAAATTCTACAATCGAAAACAATTGGTATAAAGAAAAGAGTCTCTCAAATAATAATATATTAGTTAATAATTTAGTCCTAAATCGAGATTTATATAAAGATATTGAATTTTATTCATTGAATGCCGATTTTTCTTTCAAAGTGAAAGAACCTTCTTTCCTGCCACTAATTCACAATATTCATATGAATGGGTATGGGTCAATTAATTCAGGTTCATGCTAGCGACGCAAATTATATCTTCTATTCTAAATAACTTCTTTTGATTTACGCTTTTATCATATATACGAACAAAAACAAAGAGGAAACGTTTTCTGCTGTTAGATATGATACGTGATAAAGATAAAATATATCAAAGATAAACAAGCATATGCTCCACGAAGCTACTATTTCATTACATTATTATTATTTCATACATAATTCTGTTCATTAAATGAGGATGAATTTTCCTTTTTTCAAGCTTACGATCGTGTAGAACAAATTCTCTGTTTATTAAAGATTATATCTTATAATTCACATTTAATCTGCCATTATTGTTGTCCTTTTCCTGAAGCAAGAAAAGCAGGATTTACTTCCAACGTTATCGCAGCGAGCTCGACCAAATTATACGTGTCACTGACACGAATAGCTTTGTTTAACTCTGAAATTCTCAGTTTACAGTCAAGGAAAGCAAGGTGCAGGTTAGACGCATCCTGTGTCGGTGTTTATTGGGCTGGAATGTCATGCGTGCGGAACAGATGTGCATGTTACAGAACGGAAAACAAGTTGCTGGTAATACGCGTTGTAAAGAGAATAAATTATGTGCATTGAGTATTTCCAGAATAGATGGAATCGAAGCTTTCATTGTTGTCATTGAATTCAAGTGGAAAATATACTTTCATCATATGTAATGAAGATTTATTTTGTTGTGATACGAAAACTAGTAAGTTAATCCATCCATTTTCTTCGTTTAAAAACAAGCTGCAGATCATTTCAATTGAGAAGGTTAGTAGTATTTTTTTTTAATTTGTGATACCCCAAACATTAGCTCTCCTATAGAAACTCGACTCGACCAACTCGTCTCGACTCGTCTAGTCGAGTTGGGCAGCCTGCCATCCTCAATGAGATCCAGAATGTGCTGACATCTTTCGAGCCATTTTCGTTCATGACGATCTGTTAGTTCATGCCTTGTTTGCATCTTGTAAGGGGAGGTTTTGGGGGTCATCTTTGAGGACTCTATACGCATTGATGTCACACTGACTCCTGCTTCTGCAGCTAATTTTGCAGCTGAGCTACGAGGGTTTTTCCTTAACTTCTCCCTCGTGTTTTTGACCAATTGTTTTGTTCGGACACTTCGTTTCCTTCCTTGACCAGGTCGATTGCATGTTTCACCAGTTTCCTTGATTTTTTACCACTTTCCACACAGTATCACGACGAATTTGGAGATTTTTTGTAATGACTGAATTACTCTCGCCCTTTTCATGAAGGGTTACAATTGCATTTCTATCTACTGCCATAGCCCATAAGTAATAGTAAATTTAGACACCTTAGACTTCTGCAATATAAAATAGATGAATTAATAGATGATATTAAGCTTCATTATAAAAGAA